AGAGTGAGGTGTGGGGGGGAAATCAGGATAATTGGCATGAAGCTACATGGAGTTAGTGGGGCATAACAGAAGGGTTAAGGCTCAGCTATGAGGTGTTTGTTTTGTACAGGTGTGTCTTGGACCAGAGGTAATGGTAGACTCACAGACTTTAAAGGCATTCCTTCGAAGCTGTTTGCAGCACTAGGCTCCTCATCTCCCAACAGCCTCGCAAGCCTCCCGTCTCTTACCCAGTCAGCAGCTTTTCTCAGTCATCGCTGACTATTTGTAACAATGCAATAAGCACGAGGAGTGATAAACACAGATGTTGAAAAGTGAGTAATTGTTCATTAAAAGACACCACCTTGAACAGTATGCTGGCTAGATCTTTATTTTAAACAGCCCATACAGCCAAAAATTAAGAGCAACAGCAATTATGCATGTGTATGTCTGTGACTGATATAGTTACGGTACCCAATCACATCATACAAAATTTGCCAATAAATTAAGGAGTGAAAAAACAAATACAGTGCATACCTAAAGATCATCAGTACATAAGTGAGAGAAACACAGCCTAAGTAAAAGTATTTGCATATCCTCTAGCTGTTTTAACATTGCCCTTTAAAAGCTAATCAAACCCATTCTCACACTGTGCACATTGTCTTACAAGCACTGGGCTGAATCGTAGCTTTGCCCCCGGGACAAGGAAACTGCTCTTGTGCCGCGTCCCTCATAGGGGCAGGAGGGCGGACTACACCCCAAGAATCAGCGTTTGCCTTCCTGTGTACCCCCAAGCCTGGAACAGTGTAGCAGACGCTCCTGGATCACAGACACAGCTCCACCTCCTGCCTGGCTGCGTGGCTCGGGCGGCAGAGCAGGCTCTCTGCTCTGGCTGCGTCTCCCCTCGGCAGGCTGCCCCTGCTACTGCTCCCCTGCGTGGGATTTTAAGGAGTTCCTTATTTGCAGGCAATTTGCCCAGCGTGCATCACTGAGTAACAGGCCAAACTTACTCTTGTTACTGCTTTATCATTGGTTTCATCTGGACCGTAAACATCCATCTATCAATAAATAAAATCATTGGTTTAGCACTCGTATAAAAATTACAACACCTCCCACTGGTAACTGTTCAAAAAGTTCTTCATGTTTCCCCCGACGCAAGCCTCAAGAAAATTTCTTTCTTTTCCCTCAAGCTCAGTAAGGTTTCAAGTAACAATTTAAAGTACTGTTTGGACAAGACATGGGCTTGGTTTGGAACCGTGTTTCTGGCTACGGGGTCAAAACATTTCCACACTTCTACACTTGGCTGCCTGTACCATTCTCACCAGCGAGCGGCAGAAGGGGGAACTGAAGAGTACTTGCTGTTAATTTCCCCTCCAGGTGACTGAAACAGTCCTTTTACAAAGCCTATCAATCTAATCCAGCTAAAACAAAAAGCAAAAATGTCACTCGAGTCAGAACCAAAGCCTGTGTGTATCAACATTCACAAGAAGAGTTCTTCTTATCCACAGCCACTTGCTCTAACAAACCTCATATAAATAAAGCCTTGACTCCCTTTTCTTACTGGCCAGGACAGAACGGTCTGAAATAACCCACGTCTTCCTCCAACTGAGTATTTATAAGGCACTAAAATTAAGCAACAACCAATCCCCCCCCCCCAACCAAACCCAAAATAATCCAAATGAATTGACCCACAACAAGTACAAACAGAAACGAAAACTTGGCTATATGAAATAGCAGCAATTTTTTCAGTAGTCTGCGAAGCCAGAGCATTGATATTTTGGGGCAAAAAACCAATGCACTGTTAGCCAATTACAGAGTACCTAAACCCTACGTCCACTTACACTTTATAATCAAAATCAGTACAAATCTGATAGGCACAAGTAAAAAGCATTTTCTTCACACCTTGATGCTCAGTTTTGAAACCGAAGCCACTATTTGGGAGTTTAACTGCTCTGTTGAGATTACAGTACGGTACAACCCAAGCAGGACAGTACCACACAACACCATGCAGCGCTGGACAGCCGGAAGGTTATGGTACCATTGCTAAGCTGTTCTACAGGTTACTGACCAGAGGCAAATGTTTTTAACATCATGATTAATTTGACAATGCGTTTGGCTTTGGCACCTATTTCTGATCCCTCCCTACCATTTTCAAAAGTAATGTTAAATATAGCTATAGTATACAGCTGGTGTAACTCCAGTATTTTCATCCTTCCCAATTATTTCTTGGAAATAGGTGAATTCACCTATGTCACTACATCAGATACAAAGGCTAGCACTTCAAGATTTCTTAAAAACAATCACTTTGAGTATGGAAAACTGTCTTTAAAACATATGAACAAATATTAAACATAAATTTATAAAGCAGGAATTCATACCTCCAAACATCAACAAGAATGAGCTTATTTGGAGAACAATAAAGCTTTTTTTTAAAGGATATACTGACTAGCTATAGGTAAATTAATCTTTCCCTGATTGCTTCATTAGATCATCCAGGCTCAGTGCCTCGCAGCTTTGCAGATTTTGTCGTACACTTCTGGAAAGGCATCCTTGCAATTCATTTGCTCCCTCAGCTTGTGGTATAACGAACCATCAAACATATCCCAGAACTCCTCACGGGTCATATAGCAATCTGCATACAGCATCTGGAAACTTGAGAGAAAAACAGAAAGTGGGGAAAAAAAAAAGAGAGACAGAGATTCAGTATTAATTGCACCACAAGGTTTGAAATAGAATATTAAAAAAAAAATTCAGGGCAAGCTACAAATAGCAGATACTCAACAAAAAAAAAACATCGAAAATGCTTTTTAAAAACAAGCAAATACATTTGCTAACATGGATTACACTGGGACACCTGGCTAATTGTATTTTGCAGATTTAACATTACCATGATCTCTTTTCCAAGAGGAAATAACAAGTAATGGTGGAAACAGCCGAATACTGCTACAGTCATTTTGGTGAAGGGGAAGATGGGAAAAGAAAGCAGTTAAAATTAACTGTTGCTTTCAAAATGTTGTCCAGAACACTTCTTTAGCCGTCAGTGTACCGAAACTTTTGTTAGTTTTGCTACTACAAAGAGAAAAGGAGAAGGACAAAAAAATGTGTATAAAGCAGTGGTTCCTGTTTAGACATCCTAACCACGTGCAGCCAAATCTTCCGACACCTTGTATTCTAACAACTTGTGTTCACAGAAACACAAGTCTAGAGACAACTTCAAAAGTTGCCTCAAATCAAGAGCCTGGGCCCTTGCACCAAAAGCTACACATAACCTAAATTCTCCCTGACAAATACTTGTCTAACTGCTTTTGAAAGCCTGCTTTCCTTCTTTTTTTTCCATTCAAACCTTGTATTTCCAGCTTCAAAAAAGCATGAAGTTTTTTTCTTGCATGCTTTCTTACGATCCATGGAGGTACAGCCATGGCGTCTCGTATTAGCCTGCGTTACAAAACGCATTCAGCGCAGATGTAGCAATACGTTCTTTGACTTTTTACAGTTTCTTTGTACCGGGCACTGAGAATATAACTAGGAAGGCAAAAGCCTGCCAGATCAGACCAGGCCAAGGAGATAAATTTATAGTGTAAATGAAGCACAGTGTAACAAAGGTCCAAAAATGAAATCCTTATTTAGCTGCAGACTCTTCCTTACTTTCATACTGTGCTCTCTAAAACACAGCTAGTGTCAGAGTACAGCAGTAAAACACAAACTGTTACCTAAAAGCTCTATTGTTCTATGCGATTATGAAACTGTAAGATTAAGCATTTATCCATTGCTCATTTCCCAGTGACAGGTAGAGACAAAACTTTTGTTAGTAAAGAGCCTTAAATGAAAAGCTTAATTTCAAGTTAATTAAAAAAAGCTTAAAATGAACTTGTGATTGCTTTGTTCTCCGGCAGATCACTTACTGCAGCTAAAAAGTCATTTACACTCTCCAAATCACCTCGAAGCAGACTCACCATTGCTACTCAGCCACATGGGATATAATCACTGCTAGGCTGAGAAGTAGGTCAAAATAGAAATGTGGATAAATTACACTGATGGTGTAAAAATACTGTGTAGTTGTTTTTTGTTCCTGTGAAACAAGCCTGTAACTGCTTCTCCACTGACAGTACTACGGCAAATTAGGCTGGCACGAGTCTGTGACAGATGGTGGGCACATACCTCACGCCTACTGCGGTCCTATGTCATAAGAATCAGGGCAGGGGAAGGGAAGGCATGGAAGTACAAGTTGTGAGGGAGGAAAGACTCCCACCACCACACGGGGACTGTGGGGAGCAGTCAAGGCTGGCCTCCCTGTGCAAGGACACACCAGCGCAAGGACAGGGCAGAGCTGCAGCATGACGCTGCAAGGACTGCAGGGAGCAGAACAGTCCCAAGGGCAGGCAGGGAAGCTGTCCAAAATTTAACAGCCTGTGGGACTCCTGGAGGGACTGCGGCCAACACAGCACTTGCTCTGCCCCTGCTCTGAACCAGCCTGAAACAAGTCAGCCTCAGTATGCAAGCTCAGTGGCTGCCTTCCCAAGGGCTGGGGTAGCCAGCCCTGCTGAGAGCCGTCACCCACCCACGCCAACACCGTCACCCACCCACGCTAACTCCGCTGCTGGACAGCAACAGGGCTATGCACAGTCAGTACAGACCCGCTGAGGTCTTTCTGCACCTGGGAGCATGGATGCATTTTGTTGCAGCAGAGACTCTGCTCCCAGAGAAGGCTGGAGCTGAAAGGATGCACAGGTGACCTGAAGCTACCCAGCTCCCAAATACTCTGCAAGAACTTCAGCCAGGTCACTTGTTTGTTGCTTTGGCTTTGCAATCAAATAATGAAGGTGAAATCATATTTAAAAATCATAACATTGAAATTAGTAATTAAAACTAGTTTTCAATTATTGTGGTTGTTAAATTATTGCAATATTGAAGTGCTGCAGGGTTAAATAACTGTGATTAAACCACACGGGTGTCAACTATACAGCATTATTACTACTCTAAGGAGTGGGATCCTTACCCATGCACACTTCTTACAAACTTTTCCATTTGCCTCATTGAAGCCCTGGCTTCAAATTGTTTCCTTTTGGGCTCTCCATAAGCTCCTATATCCACGTAGAGTTCTGCTTCATCCCCTTTCGGGTGGACCATACCCGGATTATTGGGCAATATGAAAGGACATAACCACAGAGGGTACACCTGCAGAGGTAAGAAAACACTTCCATCACTTATTTTTAACAAAACAATCCCTTAAAAGATCTCTTAATAAAGGTGACAAAATGAAGAGTGAAGAGGACTTCTTCCCAATTTGAGATTGACATTTACACAGCTCTTCCTTTCCAATTGTCTTGCTGTGGTTCTTAGTTGCACTTTCTAATGACCATAACACAAATGGATTGAGATGCTCAGAATATGTGCTGTGTCCTCCTAGAATTATATCTCCTTCCCCTTAAATTTTTGAAATGAAAAAAAACCCCCAAAACGTCCCTGATCACAGAGCAACAACTGAATACACATTTTGAGTAAAAAGAGAATGAAGAGTTTTCTTTTCCAGGTCAGTCCAAAATTGAAATTGCCAAGTCTGTACTTCTTACACTAAGATAAATTCAGAAATAAAAGCAAGAAAGGGAAATTAATTCCTACAATTGGGGTTTAGTGAGACTGCCAGTCATTTTAGGTGAAAGAAGAATCAGTTCAAGTTTTACTAAGTGATAAAATCTTTTAGATGTGTTGGCCTTCTACTGAAGTTTGAATCTCACTTTTTTGTTATTCTTTCTTTCAGAAGGCTGTGTTCATTTCTTCTACAGCCTTGCACCACAGCACAGTACTCCCCAGGATACAATAATAACCTTTTACACAGGCAGACTATTATGTCTTAAGATCAGCAGTCACAATGCTTATTACACACAGTCCAAGATTCGCTGCACTTTAAAAACATGTGTTCTTACATTAAGGTCAACATGGAAGGTTTGGATAGATTTTTCAAGGCTCTTCATTGGCACCAACATGTCCTGCACAACGTGGTGTTGCTCATACAACTTTCGAATAGCTTCTCCTTGTGTGAGTTTTAACAGTGAGATTTTTGGAGGAACCATCCAGCCAAACAGGTAACGGAAAACAGGATTATTGCCAAAAGGAATGATATCCTTTAAAGAGGAATAAAAAAAGTTTGACTTAGGAATGTGTAAGTGAACCAAAAGACAATACTTCAGAACCCTCAGAGCAATAGTAAGCCAGATTTTCAACAAATTTAACTGCTGATACTTTTGCTAAGCTACTATAATACAAATATGAACAAATAAGAGGGGCCTGGACTGAACTTAGCTACACAGCCCTGCCCTAAGCCACCTCTAGTTACAACGATTGATTTTCAGTCATATGAATCACAACATACCCAGCCCCAAATACTTTCAGAGAATGAAGTTCAGAGAACAGTAGGCTATTATCTTAAAACAGCTAAGGAAGGAGTGCATAAGAAGCTCAACTTACAGAACTCTTGCAAGAATAAACACATGCAAGATCAGTTCTTAAAGGAATTTTAAAGCTGTAAAACTTCAAGTACTTCTTGCACAGCCAACTGCTGTTTAACTTTTCTGGGAGCTGTAACGATCTGGTATCTCACTCCAGAGATTCAAAATGTAGCAAGGGGAATATCTTAGAATGCCAGATAAAGTTTTGCATAAGTACACGTCACAACACGTACATTTATGAAATTCAAAGTAATGACCTTACTGCATAATTACTATTCTGAGTTTAGGCAGGGCAAATTTTCAGCCATAATTTCACATTCATATTTTTTCCACCATCTGTCTTTGAAAATCACTTAGTAGGTATAAAAGCTTAATGCTGAAATACGGACTTAAGGTCTAAATGCAGAGAAGGACTTCAACAGAAATTAGGAGGTTATGCTATAATGCCTTATATATAAAGAAGTGCCTTTGGATTTGTTTTGCCCAAATGCAGGACTTTTAAATTTGCCATAAACTTCTCTGGTTTTTTTCTGCCATGAAGGACAGAAGTGTTGCCAAGGGGAAGAAGGTACATTGTTACACTGGGAAAGAGGAGAGTGCCTTCCCGTGGATGTTATTTTAAGTTTGGAACTGGTCTTACTTGGAGCTCCCAGAAGATGCTGCGTGTATGTCTATGGTAATAATGTCTTGAGGGAATGTATTCTACTCCAGTCCTGTCAGCTTTCAAATACTTCTCCACATGCTTAAAGAACCACGGCTTGTAGTAGTTGCCAATTCTGTTTATCTACAAGAAAACATGCATTCATTAGCAAACACCAACACAGATAACAGTTGCACCTTACTAGACAGCATTAAGTATGTCCCAAAATTCCCTTACTATGAAGAATCAATGTGAACCAGCTTGAATGAGACTGTCACAAAAGATCTAGGGAGACTTGATTTCTCCACATGCATGGCCCCTTCTTACCTGTCTTGCCATTAAGGCTTAATTTAAGTAAGGCTTTCTAGGGCTTGCCTGTTACAAGCTAATTAAGAGACCATAAACATGACAGACCTGGATTCCTAAAATACCGATCTTTCAACCCGTCATTAAACCAGTCTCGTTACAACAGAGGAGAAACATCCAGGTTGAGGGATGCAGTGAAGAGTTAGCATGTTCCTCCTGTAAATGTCCCTGATGTGTTTTACCAATATTAACCGTGTTAAAAGCTTGCTGGGAGAAGAGTTACTCTGATTAACTGCAGTTTAAAACAGCATTGTTCTGTGTATGAGGAAAGATACTTCGCTTCCTCCTTAGGTACTGCAATGAAAAGGCTGTAGGCTGAATTATTTGCTAGAATACTGAAATCAGTGGGTCATTTCTTATCAACTGAGGAATTTAGAGTACAGACTCTGTTGTAGTAACAAAGCTGTAATTTAAAATATTCTGACGGACAGATCTAACTTTTAATCCCATGTTAAGAGACTGTTCCAATCTTATAATGATTCTGGTTTTATATTGGCATATTGTACAGCCTAAGTTAAACTTTGGGAATATTTCTTTTGTTTGTGAGTAACTTCCCTTCAGTTACCTTGCTTTGCTCAGCTTCATCAGTCAAGACTCCCGTCATGATGACTGCTTCGTCCAAAGAATACACAAGTCCTTCCACAAAACTATTCTCCTTTTTCTTAGATTCTTCAGTAAACTTTTCACAAATCTTCTGCAGTCCTCTCACAGGCTCATAATGTATTTTGACATATTTCTTGGCAGGAATCATTTTTATTTCTGCTGCAACCAGGAAACCCAGAGTACCACAAGACCAAGGCACTGCATAAAATAGGTCTGAATTTTCAGTCTGCAAAAAGTATGTCATACTAAATCATATATCCATACCGATAACTGTCAACGACATTGTAAATGATAGCAAAATAACATTTTGTCTTACTGGTGAACATCTCACAAGGCTTCCATCAGCAAGAACAAGTTCATAGGCTACGCAGGTATGTTGAAAAAGTCCATATATATGGGATGAAGACTCAATGCCAGTTCCCATGATCAGGCCACCTTATCAAGAGAGCACATAACAAATCAAATGAAGCACACTCCAAAATGAAGGTAGTTTACAAGAACAAAACACCACTTTTAAGCTCTGGGCATGACTTTTAAGACTATTTAAAAAAACCCCAAAACAACCAGGAAGTGCTTATAACATAAATACCACAACAGAACGTAAGGTTCAACAGTGTATTTCCAGAACCTTTAAAATAATGCAGCATGTTACTTCATAAAAAGCTAATGAAAATCAGCAAAATCAGCGAGTCTCTTGTCATCACAATGACCCTTACCTACTGTAAGATCATCAAGCTCTGGTACCACAGGAATAGTCCAGCCCATGGGATTCAGGTGTGCAGTCAACTGGCCCATGGTCACCAAAGGTTCCACACGAACAATCTAAAAATAAAATAAAAAAACCAATTCCCCCCATCAAACATAAATTAATAAGTGTTCAGCATTAATGATGACAAAATACGGCTAACTGGATTGTACTTCCATCTGTTATTGGAATTCAGAGGCTTACTTTCCTAAGAGCACTACTAAAAATAGTTGAAACTGTTTAGTGATTCCTCCTCTGCCTCAACATCTTGTTGCTCAGTCCCCCAAACCATAAATCAATCTGGTCTTTTAGACTTCAGCACGTAAAAGCTAAGCAATTCCATATGCTGTTTTTTTGGATAGAATGATCCAAGCACACACTGTAAAACCTCAAATTTGGTGGGTCTACTGCTACAAAAATCCTTTGTTCTTTATGGCATCTAATCTCCTCTTAGCTACAAATACACTAAAAAAAGCTATAAGCTCCTTTATTATGAAAGCTTTGTGATGAATTTGTTACCTGTCTTTCACTGTCCACTTCTAGAACATCCATTAAGTTGATCATGATGTTCTTATGAATCTTCTTATACTTTCCAACACGAAGTGACACAGTCAACCAGCCAGGCCGGCCAGTGCACATGTATCTTTTGCTGCCTTCATTTTTCCATTCCCGAACCTGCAAGAGGTAACAACTGAACTGATGCTGTAAGGCATACACACATTGCCAATAATGTATACCAGAAATACTTTTCCCTCACTGTGAAAAAGCATTCAGAAATATTGTTATTCCTCTACACACGTTACCTGCAAGTAACAAAGCCTGGATGTCTCTACGTTGGGCAGTGACGCTTTGGAAGTCTCTCTGCAGACCTCCGAACTTCTAAATGAAATACCACCAGAGGGGCCTAGTGGTGTAGAGGAAGCATTTCTAACACTCCGTAGCTTTGGGTTTCTTTTGGAGATGGGATTCAGAAAACTAGAATAAAAGTTTTGAAAATCCATGGGAAAACCTATGCTTGAAGGGAGGTATTATCACTGTCATTAATAATGCCAGTTCCTTGAAGCTTAATGAAACAATGTCTCCTCCTACACATGCCAAATAACGGTCTGAGCCTGAAAATGACCGGGCAAAGAGAAAAGTTGAGGAGGAAAATGTGTAAGCCATACACATGGTTCCACGGATTTTGCAAAACCACGGTGGTTAAGATTTGGAGAACAAACATCAGTTGTAGCATTTTCTTCAAAGCCCAACTGCTACCACAGCTGGTGATAAAAAACGCAACCGCAAACCCTCAAAGAGTAACTCCGTGCACACATTGGTGTCCATCTGTATCTGCAATGAACACGAGAGTCAAGGAAGGAAAGCGAAGCAGATGTGACCGAATCACCATAAATACTAGAGAGCACAGAAACGCTAAAGACGTCTGCGTTTCTGGGTGGAAGAAAAGTTTCCTCTCCCCTTCAATCATCTCCTGGAACTAACAATGCCGAGAAGCAGGATGTAAGTGGTATTAAAACACGCTATTAAGCCAGCCATCCAAAGCCTAACATTTTCATGCTACAGACGCGTACGTGCCGTAACCCCGTGAGCGTACAGAGACCCACAGCACACCTCTACGGGGGTTCCAGCGCCAGCAGCCGGGCGGCCGCCTCTGGACCTGCCGGCTGCTGATGCCGCAACTTCGAGAGGAGTTTCCGACG